CTAACTTGTCTTATCCTTCAGCTTTCTACTAAAATATCGAAAAGGCCTTCCTGGAATCCCAATCTAAATTGATTTAGTTATTCTCTCATAAAACCCTCATCTTTCTCTTCACAACACCTATCAAATTGTTTAACTATATTAACTTGGTGATTTTTGTTTGCTTGCTGAACATTTGTCTTCCACACTAGTCTGTAAGTTCCATAAGGTCAGAAATATCTCCACTATTATTCTCCACTATATAATTAGCCCTAGCCGTTCCTGGCACACAAAAGGCATTTAATAAATAGTAGTGCAGTAGTAACAGTTGTTAATATTTTTGGTAAATTCTCCCCTTTTCCCGCCAAGGGTTCGGATCCCACATACAGACCAGTTCCCGCTCACTGGCTGAGCGAGGTGCGGGCGCAACACCGAGGGTTGCGATCCCGTTGCCGGTCCCGGTCCGGTACTGGCGCGACACTGAGGGTTGCGATCCGTTGCCGGACACGAAAAAAAGACAAAAAGGAAAAAAAAAAAATTCTCCCCTTTTTCTGTCCTCTCCTGGGAATGTTAACTTAGAAGTTACAGTGTATCCACAGATGATTTCTGCAAATGCTTAAATTCATCACCTCCCTACTGATTTATATTGCAAAATCAGATGTATTTTAATTAACAATGAGAATTGGTTAATATTTAGCCTATATTCACTCACCCTAATAAAAGCATTTAACTCTGAGAAAACTACTGAGTACTTTCACAGAACTATGTAGTAAACTCCTGGCCTCCAATTACTGGCAAAGCCAATAACCCTCATGTCTAGGTCATTAAGTTTTTTACCTACCTCAACATATTCGCACTGCCGTTCCTATCCAGGGCCCATAATCTCATGATTAGATTATCTCACCAGGTTATAGTGGGTCTCCCAGTCTCAAGTCCATTTTGTACCAAGGACATTTGGAAAAAAAATGTCTCCTACTGAAAAACCAAGTTCTTCCCATTATCAATCAATATTAAATTCCTCAGACTAGCACCAAAGGTCTTCTTATGATGATGCACTGATCAGCAAGCCAGTCCTATGTTTTAATAAAAACTTGGAAAGTAATATTGAATTATATGTGCTTGACAAGTTGACACCATTTCAAGCTAAAACTGGCATATGGCTCTACTCCATTTCTACAGCCCAAAGTTGAGATCTGTTTAGCAGACTCCTGAAACGAAGCCACTTTTGAGAAAAGACATGAAAATGCCTCACTATGATATCAGTCCTTCAAACTTTGAGCAGAAACTAAAAAGGAACAAGCTGTTAGCATTTTCAAACATATATGTGCTTAACTAGGAAGACATTATAATACAAAATATATAATGTTTCAGAGAGGGAACTACTCCAACAGTTTAGTTATAACATATGTATTAGTTCATTTGTGTTGCTCATAACAAAATACTTGGAACTGGGTAATTTATAAAGAAAATGAAATTTATTGCTTACAGTTTCTGAGGCAGGGAAGTCCAAAGTCCATCTGGTGGTGGCAACAGTGACCCAAGGATCTCACATTGTAAGATGGTGGAAGCAGAGAGAGAGAGAAAGACTCTCTTCTTTTAAAGCCCTCAGAACCATGCCCCTCACCACCATTTTTAATCCATTCACTACTACATGATCCTACAACCCAATCACCTCTTCAAGGCCCCACCTTACAATTTCCATAATAGGATTTCCCACCCTCTTAACAGTCACAGTGAGGGCTAAGTTCCTAATACATAAAACTTGGGGGACACAACTCAAGCTTCAGGGAGCTTGGGGGAACATAATTCAATCCACTACAACATACAATATAAGTATACCCCTGGAATCTGTTTTTTTTTAAGTTAGAGATATAATTTATATATGTATAACAATAACTGACGCTCATTATTTGGAGATTCCATATTTGCAAATTCAACTATTCCCTAAAATTTATTTATATCCCCGAAATTACTCATGGCACTTTCACAGTCATTTGCAGACATGTGCACAATAATCAAAAAATCCGAGTCTCTTGGGCCGGCCCTGTGGCTGACTCAAGGCAGTGCAGCACTGGTGGCACCGAGGCCGCAGGTTCAGATCCTATATAAGGATGGCCGGTGCGCTCACTGGCTGAGCATGGTGCTGATGACACCAAGCCGAGAGTTGCGATCCCCTTACCGATCAAAAAAATAAATAAAAATAAAAATCCGAGTCTCTTGATTTGCATTCTTGTTTCAGCTCTCATACTGTAAACAAGTGTCTTTTTCATGGTCTATTTAGTGCCATGTTTTTCCCATTTCTGTGTTTTCTACTGATGATTTCACTGTTTCAATGGCATAATCTCAAGTGTAGTGCTAAAGTACTGTCTTGTGCTCCGAAGCAAGAGAAGACTATGATGTACCTTACAGAGAAAATACATGTTAGATAATCTTCATTTAGGTATGAGTATAATGATGTTGGCCATGATTTCAGTGCTACTGAATCAACAATATATATTAAATAAACACACATAAAACAAGGTTGTATACTGATCAGTTGTCAAAAATATTGTGAACAGAGGCTTGCAGGAACCTAACCCTGTATTTCCCCTAAAAGCAATCAGTATTCACTAATTCAGTGTTCATAGTGACTTTTTGAAACATGACTAATTATATATACAAGTATAGACACAAAGACAAATAGACAGGGATTGATTTATTGAAGACACTGCAGAGGTGGCTCTCAGTAAGCCGCCTATGTTTGCAGTAGTATGGCAAAAACACCTTAGGGTATAGCATCTACTGGTTCCTGGCCTGTTTAAACAACACTGACCCAAAGCAAAAAATGTATAACCTATACCAAGTTTGTTTTTTTGGTCTGTCTTAGCTTCCACCACTTTTTTCTCAGTGGTATACCTCTCCCCAATTCAGGTACTCTAAACTTAAAAGCCTTTTCACAAGCACTTGCCCCAATCTTAGAATCAGGCAAACCTGCCATTACTGATTAATCACACTTAAATGTGAACCACACTTGTGCTTAAACATCTTTCCTAAACTGTCATTGCTTATTTGGAAGAAGAAGGAATCTTAGGCATCTGAAGTAAGAATAAAGCAGTCAGAATCAAAAAGTAAACTGAATACAGATCGTTTCAATTGTATGTGTGCTGGAAAAAAAATACACAGGGGAAGAAAGCCTAGGCCTTGGCCTCCCCTCCAGGGAAGTCTTAAAACCTAATCCCAGGAGCTGAGGTATAGGATAGGGAAGTTCCATTTTTCAAAAGGGTTTGTTTCTTCAACCCTTGCTTCCTCTTAGCACTTGATCACTTATTTTTCAAGAGAAATGACAAATTTATGGCAAAAGTTAGTGGAACACTCTAACAGTTACATTAGTGCTTGAAAATTTTTGTTTTTGTAATTGAATTAGGACTCTACTTTTGAGGTTCATTTTTATTTTCATTTTCCAAAATTACTTATTTTTTATTGAAAATGACTTGTTTAGGGTAATGATAGGATATACTTAAGGCAATTATACAAGTTACAAATTCAAAATCTAGTTTATGAAATGTCAACATTTTCTTTCTATTAAATAAAACACCCACCTGGGATTTAGTGGAATGAAGTGAGTATATCAACTACTCAAACTACACTTCAATTAGTTTCTAAAACATTTCAAAGACATAAATATGGCACCTAAGTTAACAGCCATGTGTTCTTAAAACTTACAACCCAATCTACACCAACACTTGAAATTCATGTGTAATAGAGTTAGGAAATTTTACAGCATAGTAAATTTATCGGTCAAGACCAATCACCATATACTTTATTCTATGGAGAAGCTAAGGATCCTCCTTCCCCTACCTCTCCAAGGTTCACCTAGGCTCATTATTCTGGACAATGGTTTACAAAACAATGACATTCACCCCTGAATAAGTCATGATTTCTTTCTCTTTAGTATACTTTATAGACAAAAATATTCAGGTTTTTCTCTTGTACTAATTTACTTTTGTTTATTGCATTTCAAAAAAATTATGGTGTACTTTTTTCATACCACATCAACGTCTAATTCTCAGAGAAGCAAAACTACTCTCCTCGATTTCTTCTCTCTACTTTAGAACTGAAGAGCCATTTCTCAACAAATTACTTCTTATAAATTTTTAGATTTATTCTGTAACATTATTTTGCAAACAAAACTTCAAAGGTTAATGAAGCATGCAACAAACAAGTATTTTCTACAACTCAATTCCACCAGAAATACAAAATTAAAGTCTAGGATCTTTCCTTAAAATGAAATAAAAAAATTTCTGTAAGTAGCTTTCTACCTGCTGTCATAACCTGTCACAGGTAATCAAGGACTGACCACAAAACTTGGCAAGTTAAAGTAAACCTGCTTTCATATCACTTTTTGAAGTACTACCAAAGAGACATAATGGAAGAGCATGAATAGCACTCTGTCCCATAGAGAAGAGTGTAAATAACAGATAAACGGACTTGTAATTTACCTGCTCCACCAAAGCAACCTATTAACTGAATTTGCGGCGAAGTATCACCTTCAACACACACACGAATATACTGTTTTTCAACTGATGACTGAGCAAATCCAGGCTCGACACCAGGGGCTGCAGGGTCCTGTGCCCTGCGGCGCGGGTGGAGGCTCGCACGTAGAAGCCAACGCATGACAGCCGCCTGAGCCACAGCTGGCACAGCATAGCCTCAATCCTGCACGAACTGACCCTCTAATGAGTCACTGGCCCAATCATGACACCACATCGCTTGCTAGAACGTCTTCTATTTATTTCCTCGCGTCAAGAAGGACAGAAAATGATTTAAACTCGTAAAAAGAGAACTGTGCACCGGTCAGGGCTGCCAGCGGTGAGAAAAGCCGGCTTAAGAGTGAAAGCCCGAGCTACTCTTTAAGAGCCCCCGCGGGCCCGTCAGAGGAGGCAGAACAGGGAAGAGTACGGCGAGAGGGCGAGGATCCGGAGAAGCCACCGCCACACCCCAGCCCTCCCTCACCTGCCTGCCCGAGCCTCCCCGGGCGCCCGTACCTTCGGCCAGGGACTCCTCCAGGGTGACCTGGTAGCGGCCGACCGCGAACACCCGGACCCCCACCGATGAGCCACCGGAGCCGGCACCGC